GTAGAACTTCGAATCAGTAGTTAGTAGCTAGATGGCTTCCTCTCTCTCGTTTGATTCTCAAAACAATGGTCTCTTGGAGATCCATATGATGTAACTCTTTTTGCGGTGTGTTTGTTGGGATCGGATGAACTTCGAGTTTATGATCAGATCTATATTTTTATATCCATGAAAGTATTTGAGTTTCTTTGATCTCTTTTATGCATGATTGCTTATAGCCTCGTATTTCTTCTCCAATATTTGGGTTTTGTTTGGCCAACTTGATCTATTTATCTTGCAATGGGAAGAGGTGCTTTGTAGTGGGTTCGATCTTATTGTGCTTGATCCCAGTGACAGAAGGGGAACCGACACGTGTGTATCATTGCTACTAAGGATGAAACGATGGGTTCTATCTCTACATAGATATATCTTGTTTACATCATGTCATCGTTCTTATTGCATTACTTCGTTTCTCCATGAACTTAATACACTAGATGCATGCTGGATAGCGGTCGATGTGTGGAATAATAGTAGTAGATGCAGGCAGGAGTCATTCTACTAATCTTAGACGTGATGCCTATGTAATGATCATTGCATGTATATCATCATGAGTATTTGAAGTTATATCAATTGCCCAACAGTAATTTGTTTACCCACCATTTGCTATTTTTCTCGAGAGATAGTGAAACCTACGGCCCCCGGGTCTCTTTCTCATATTATTTGCCTTCATGATCTATTTTATTTGTCTTTTATTTTCAGATCTACTAAACCAAAAATACAAAAATACCTTGCTGCAATTTATTTTATTTGGTGTTCGATCTATCAATATTTACAACACTCCCGCGTCCGTTTGCCCATCTTGGGGCGCCGCTACCTGAAAGGGATTGACAAGCCCTTTTATACGTCGGGTTGCGAGTAGTTGTTATTTGTGTGCAGGTGATGTTTACGCTGTGGTGTTTGGTTCTCCTACTGGTTCGATAACCTTGGTTTCATATTTGAGGGAAATACGTACCGCCGTTGTGATGCATCATCCCTTCCTCTTTGGGGAAATAGCGACGTAGCTTTAGGCGACATCAGCCACATATCGAGGGACAACAAGGAGTTGCGTTCTTTATGCACTCTGGTTCATCATGTGTGGCCAACCAACATTTTATTATCCAAAATCTGCTTGCTCTTCTTTAGCATGCTCCTCTTCTGTTCTTCCTTTGTAAGTACTCTCTCCGTACCTAAATATAAGTATTTGTAGAGATTCCTCCATGGACTACATATGGAGCAAAATGAGTGAATCTACACTCTAAAATGTATCTATATACGATTCGTATGTGATCCATAGTGGAATCTCTACAAAAATTTGTATTTAGGAACAGAGGGAGTATAATAATTGTACGGTATGTTCTTTGTAGTGAAGCGGAGCGGGGACATTTGCAGTGTACATGTCTATTCGGTCGCTTGTTATGGACGCTTTCAACTCTTCGTGTTGGTCTTCATGTCGATTGTCATGGACGCTTTCAACTCTTCGTATTCGATCGTATGTGTCGCCTTTGAGAGTTAGACTGATAGTAACAGTACCGCGCCTTCAGTTGTAGAGAGCTGGTATGCAAAGCCTTTCTAGTCGTACCGGCAATACTAGCACATATATTTCAGCAAGTTCCACTTTCCTGATTTTACTCCTGATGCTTAGGGTTTTCCCATTATATCTACACTATGATCTGCGTAGGTGCTTTGTGTCCTACTAGCAGTTGTCCACCCTTTAAAGTTAAATAACACACCAATCATACGTCCTAAGGTTCTTCAAATGCGAATGTGATATGATACTGACATTAGCTAACAGACACACATTTAATTGGTTAGCTAATGCTCCCACTTAAGTTTCCAAATGCATGTGGCCACATATAGAGAGACATCATGAAATTGCATTTCTTTGGGCGCTCTGATTCATCATGGGTGGGCAACCAACATTGTATAGAAAGAAGGGGAATCTCAATAATATGCTTCCCCTTCTATTCTTTAACATGTTCCTCTTCTGTTCTTCTTTAGTAAGTACAGTATGTTCCTTGTCAGGAAGGGGAGCAGGGACATTTGCAGTCGACAGCTCTATTGGGCCGGTTCTGCTACATGATTTCACACTTCGAGTTGGTCTACCATAATATCCCGGAAATGGTGGGAGCCACGTGGTCTTTGATAGACTAAACTGGTAGTAACAAATGTGCGTCTTCAGATGAATAGAGCTGGCATGTAGGTGACCGATAGGCCGCATATTAGTAGTGGCAAAACCATGTATTTTTCAGCCAGTTCCGCTTTCCCGATTTATTTATGGTGGTTATGGTGTACCCCTATTATCTGCACTATGATATGCTTGCTGGATCTGCGCACTCGTTATCATGGTTTGGCAATAAACTTTCTTTACGGTATATTATGAACCTATCATCTACCAACTATCCTTACATCTGGAGCTCCCAACAGGGAGCCTATTTTTTGTGTAGTTGTGCCAGATTATATTAATCTACTCACCATATTACAGCACACATGGGCTCTCTCATCAGAATCCAGTGATAGCACACAAAGGTTTACAGGGAGCCCCTATTATATTATAATATCCTTTGCATTACAAAGATAATCTCACTATTATTTATGTTTTCATGCTTTTTCAGATATTGTACGTAATACAATGAATATAAGAATGCGCACATCACAAGAATATTGCAGAACAGTTCAATGGGTAACAAACTTGGCATCAAGGAATTGAGGTCCATTGTGGATGCAATGAAACCCACATGCTTCGTATTCAGAATATGATCCTAATGACTATTTTGAGCTCAAGTAGTCAAAGGCAGATGGCATATCCTGTTCACCTAATAAGGTGTCTGTTCTAGTTGGGCAAGGTTTTATTGGTTGCACATATCTTGCATAAGGTGTCTTGCATTTCTTTTGCTTCGTTGCATCGCCATCTGCTTAATTTACTCATGATATATGTGAAGATGCCATGCCCATCCATTATCAACACCTATTCCATTTATCGCCATACCATGTTTTTCCATTCAAATGCTATACTTATGTTTCAGACATCCAAAAGGAAGAGGGTGATTGTAGAACCTTAAGAAGTACAAGCAAAATCCTTGAAAAAGGTGATGCTACCGAAGAAATCACATAGCACCCGACGTATATTGGCGATAGAACCAGCGCCGCAAAACCTAGGATATCGCAACTATACTGGTCGTTGCTTTACTCTTGTGAGTACATATTGTCCTATCGATATCCTTACATTCATACCTGGTGGATTATGTGACATCATTGTGCATTATAGCTTTCTTATCCACTGTTCGCTTCAAATTATCAGATCTATATTAATGCTTAAATTAATGTAGAATAAACCCAATGCTTATGAAGAAATTTAGTTATGCATTGTTCTTGTAAGTATCTATTGTCCTTCATCATTGTATTTATATTCGTCAGCTAGTTCTTCATGTACACTTTGCAGCTTATTTTCCCTTGTCCTCCATTTTCTACACATCAGATCTACATTTACTTTTACCAAAATATTGAATAAAACCAATGTTACTGAAGAAGTTTAGCTCCACATTGCTCTTGTCTGTGTCTTTTGCATGTATGTTGTATTTACATTTGTACTCTGCATCTTAAGTTAAATAATTACCATTTGTTCCCTATATTTTCATATCTATATTT